CATATTGAGACAACACACAACCGTGCACACACATACTCAAGACAAATCACACGCAGCCTAAGGAAAGGTGCGACTCCAAACACTACAGGGTGGTGCTCCAGTAAATCACTCTTTCAGGGTCAGATGCTCGTAATGTTTTTCAAAAACTCGCATTAGAAAGATTTCAAGATCAGATTGTGTCCACGGGTATCACTGCAAGGGCAACATTTCCTTCTGTCAGTGATCTAATCTGACTGTGCAATCATTAAAAACGATATGTGTGCAAACATGTACAATTACAAAACTCGCCATTTCAGTGGCTATTCAACAATCTTTGTTGCACAAGCCTCTGACACTGAGACCATTTATGCTCTTCTATTGTCTGTAACTCTTCCTCTCTTCCTTCCAGCTGGAATTTATAGTATGACTCCGCTGTAACAATGACTTGGCTGAGACCCAGTCCAGATGCATGAGATAGATTTTCAAATACTCGGTTTTATTTTCTTCTTTCCCCTTGAGCACTACCAATCAAGGCTTTGGAAAATGTTAACTCAAGGACACACACCGAGTGCGCGTGTTTGTGTAACTGCCTGCGCTTTAAATTTTGTTTATTAGTTCTAATGTCCAGCCCTCAATCAGTCACCGTCACACAAACAGCGGGACGCCACACGAGCAATCGTACCTCGAGAAACAGGCGTGATGAGTTCAGCTTGTATTCTACTTCCTCACATCAGAAAACTAAGCCGGGCCTGCTCTCAGTGTGTGGCCTGATCCACACCACCCAACTACAATTCACACAGAAGCCTTTAATTGTAACTAATCTATTAAAGCGCAACGAGTCATTCATCAAATTACAACAAACTAGCACAGGTGGATTTTGAAGCGCTTACAGCTGAAAACCCAAATCCATCGTCTTAAAGTTATCATCGATTAAGCCCTAAACAAACTCCAGCCTCCAAATGTTCCAACGCTCACTCACCGCTCTGGTAGCTAAACTTTGTTCTCAACCACCTGACCTGCCAAGTTAGCTCATATTCAATATAGCCCCACCAACGCCTACTGAGTATTTTTACTACCAAGGCAGAAAAGGTTAGTCTGACAGCTTATTTTGCTCATGTGTCTACTTGGATTCAGCAAATTGAAATTTCGAAGGTTGATAACTTGATTTTCACTGAACACGATCTTTAAATCTTTGAGCAAGGAAAGATCCTGTGCACAAATAGATTTACGGTGTAGTTTGTCTGTTTGCCAGCAGGATTACACAAACAGTACCAAGACAAATATCGTTAAACTTTGTGAAAAGGTGCAGGAAAGGCAGATCTTCTGCCACATTAACACTGAATATTAACGAATAATCATGTGACTAGAGTCAGATGATATTTAACCTGACAAGTAAAGACTTATTTGCAAATTAGAATTTATTATTTCAGAACATGTAAAGTACTGAGAAAGTACCACATCAGGTCGAAGATGAAATACACCCAACCATAAATCTGACATTAATCAGCTGATTCTAATTATATACACAAACTCATTTCAGTGGTTTCTGAAGAGACTGAAATGACTTGCGCAGTAAGTAATAGTAGTAGTAATAGGTAAAATTGTTTCCTGGTCACATGATGACACGCACCATGCCGTCTTTCTCCAAGTTACATTGTTACATATTCAGTGGATCAGAACCTTTTTAAATCCAACTGATTGTTCACGAAACTAATCGGCCGACTAATCACTACAAAAAGTGGGAAACACGTACACCCTGTAACCTGGAAACACAACGAGACACGCACAGTGAAAACAGCCTCGTTCCTTCGGCAACCTGCTGCTGCTATGAGGTCATCAACGCCTGTTTGGGTTTCTCTGTTACAGTAGGCAATCCGTACGGCTGTACCGACGAGAGGCGAAGATTCTGAGAGATAAGCCGTGAGCACACTCGTCTAATCTGATAAAGTGTCAACACCAAATCCTGTCCCTCCAACTCTAGTGGTTTCTAAACCCGGAGAGACTCGCAGATATAAGTTTAAAGATAAGAGTTGTAAACACGCCGATCAAATCCAAAAATCAGGGGGATTAGCACTTAATGCAGTGTTTTGCCTGAGTCTATTTCAGATAATC